AAAATATGAAGAACAAAATACAGATTTCCATTTATTAATGACACTTTGCATTCATCTTATTTGGAGGAACTAGAACCACAAACACTGTTGTCTGCCATTGTAAAATAATATTCCCTGATGCTCCTCCCCAATGCGTGAGATGCATCAAAAGTGGACCAATAACGAGCAAGCTTTCAGGATGGTCGTTTTCCAGAACAAATTGGAACATTTTTCATCGGTGCTGTCAAAATCATCATAGTCATTGATTAAATTCTGACACTATCCATTCACAAAAACATAAAACATCCTTCGGGGCCCCTGAAATGCCGGGGCCCCGGGCTGCAGCCCCTGTAAGCCCCTGCTAAAATCCGGCCCAGACCCTAAAGATTGAGTGGCTGACCCTGCCAGGTTGGAAAATCACAAATTCAGGATGTGGAACCACGATCAGCAGCGACTAGAATCAGTTTTTACTGCAAATATCTTCTAAAGATTCAAACATTTAACATGTAATTTTAGTCTGAATCACCTGATGTTTGAATTGGCTCGGTTGGTTTCCTGTCAAAAATGAAAAAGCTTACGTTCAAGTTGATTTGTAGTCAACTAAACTTAAACAACTAAACGTGCATTTAACAAACAGTTAATTAACCCGTGTTCCTCTCAACAGTCTCCCCAAAATGCCTAAGATTATTTTTAAAGGTGGATGCACATGAAGGGATGGAGATTGGAGAGCTAAATGAGGCCACAGAACCAAGCCCTACTTGTTGCTGTTTCAGATTTGATAGCGGCACAAAGAATCAAATGTTCTGGACATATTTTTCTGTGCGTATGGCCAAGCATTCTCTGAAGTCTCCATCTGGAGTCTCCATCTGGAGTCTCCATCTGGAGTCTCCATCTGGAGTCTCCAAATTAAACATTAAACGGCTGTAACGCCTGAATGTGTTGACGTCCAGTGATAACTGGAGGAGTCGTGTTCTGTAACTACAGTCGCTGTCAGTAGAGTTGCATTCAGGCCCAAAAACATCTGAACCCAGACCCCCCACACACATAGTTTTAATGAGTTATTAACGGTTGGAGACGCGCAGCTGAATAAAGGCGTCGGAAGATTTGGAGCTGAGAGGTGTTTGTCATTTCAATCCTGTTTCTGCTGCGTTCTTCTGAATTACTGAGACACGCGGACAGCTCTGACACACGTCTGCTTTGGGATCTCACCTGTTTGGGTCATCGGCCGCGCGCGTCCGCCGAGTGCAGCGGCTGAATGAATGTCCATTTGGGTGATGGATTGCTTCCGGCAGTATTCATTCAACCTTTATTTAGACGGTAAATCCCATTGAGCCTCGAGGACTCCTTTACAAGAGAGACCTGATTTCAACAAATTAAAGTCCCATCTGAAGCTTAAATGAACTTTTTACCTCGTTCAAGGTCGGTCAGCTCGCGGTGAAGTGGCCACACGTGCGGCTGGTGGATGTATGGCAGGCCATGTTATCATATAATTAGATGGCGGCTGATCTTGACTTAATTAAAAGCCCAAAACTGGCCCGGCCTGCCCATTAATCACATTATAACGACCCGGCCCTAATCCGGGTCGGTCCGGACCGGGTTTGGGTTAGAAATGACAGCTCTAACTGTCAGCTTGATGGAAATACAGTAAGTTATGCATAAACAGTCAGAATGCTCAGCAAAGCATATAACCCCCCCCCCCCCCACACACACACACACACACACACACACACAGCTAAAAGTCTACAAACTGATTTCTTTTACAAAAGTATTTGCATTATCAAAAAGCAGCTGGGTGTAACGTTTCCATGATGTAACATGTCCTGCTTCTCTATTCTGTGATCTGTGCTGAGTCTGTGTGCATCACACTGTGTTGGTCATGTTGCGGTTGTTGTTGTTATCCATTATTGTTTTTGTCGGTTTCTACTTTTTGGTGTCCTGTTATGTAATCTGTTGCTGTGTGCTTGTTCTGTTTGTCCCTGTACAGCACTTTGGTGTGCTTTGTCACTGTTTAAAGTGCTTTATAAATAAATTGGTATGGTATGGTATGGTATTCGACATGTTTCATCATGCTTTAGTTTTTTACAAAACAAAATGTCAATTTACGTCTCACACAAATGCACACGAGCACCAGCACATTCTAACGTTAATGTGTTGACCGTTTTATAACTCGCCCTCTCGTGGAGCGTATTGCAGCGACAGGAAATAGATTGGCGATACGTCAGTGGCATCGGGCTCGGCGTCAGAGATGGTAGGTTTGATCTGTAGGCAACAAAGTGTCGTCCTTGTAGACGGCATGGCGCTCTGTGGACACTGTTGGCTTTAGAGAGACCCTCCATCAACCAGTTGGTTAAAAGAGGTGTCAGTCGAAAGAAGAGGGCCTACAGCCATTTTGACACTGTGGTATTTTAATTTGAAACCCTGATTTAGCTATTTATTTAATAATTTTTATTTAATGAGGCAAAGCCCATTGAGGTCACAGATCTCTTTTGCAAGGGAGGCCTGGGCCTGAAGGAAGCCTAACATGCATGTTTTGAACTGGGGGAGGAAAACCCACGCAAACACGAGGAGAACATGCAAACTCCACACAGAAAGAACCCAGGTCCAAACGGGGAATTGAACCCAGGACCTTATTGCTGTGAGGCAACTGTATTATTATACACAGTATCTTATAAGATCAAGTATTTCCAACTGCTAACTGTGAGAAGGTGATATTTATAAGACTGAGTTTATTGCAGCTCCTCAGACTGATGAGGTCTTTCGGGTGAAACACGAAACGCTTCTACAATTTTTTTGTTTTTTGAACCCGTCCAGAGGACCTGACTTGACTTTTTTAAAGATTTTTCTACCTGGATTATTGAGCATGCACCAGGATCAATCATTCTCAGTCAGGTCCTCTGGACACTTTCTTTCTTTTTTTAAAGAAAC